GGAACCAAGAAACCAGACTGAAACTAAAAGTGCAGGTTAAAAAATAAAGGAGTTTATTAAAAGTGACAATAAACAAAATAGCAAAACAATAGGTAAATCCAAGAAGTAGTCAGACCTGAGCAAGAGGCCAGAAGCCAAAGCGGGTAGTCAGCTAAGCCAGGTCTGGGAATGCAGAGAGCAGGATGAACGAGTACAATAGCCGGAGTCTGGAACCAGGAGATCAGTGGACAGAGCCAGGATCAAACATGGAGCACTGGAACTAGCAGAGAGCACTTGGTAGGTCTGAACAACCAAAAGAGCACAAACCAAGTGATAAGACTGATGATTATAGAGTGAACTGAAGTCGCATCATCACTGGGAGACATGAAGTTGGCAGGAGTCACAGAATGATGAAGTTTATGGGTTTGACATAAGAGGGCAACTAGGAGCAACAGTCAGGCCCCGTTCACATTTGCATGTCGCTCAGTGTGAATGGGGTCTCAGTGTCAGATACACTGCACAGAAGCTGAACCTGCAGCTCAAGTGGACAAGGAAGGGTAAGAAACCCTGACACACTAGTCAGGTATGAGGGGTTATGGCCTCCATGGGGACTGGCCTTCAGTTTCTATGTGCCTAATGTCCATTTCTCTTGTAGGCAACAGCATACATGTGATTGCTTTTTACCATTAACATATGTCCCCCAATAGACAATAGTGAAATATTGTTTTCACCTTTTTTTAAACCATTAATGCATCTCAGCGCTGCTGATCTCCTGCAACCTTTTTTGCAGCCAGGTTCTGTCTACACACATGCACCCCAGCAACTGTTAGGCTGGGTTCACACCTGAGCGTTCTTTTTATGCTTGTTTTTCAGATAGTTTTTTCGTTCAGTGAAACGCGCGTTTCACTCGCGTCGAAGACACAGCGGGGATCGCGGACAACCTAAGACCTGTACGCTGTATTCCGAGTGTGGCTCGGGGTTACCGCTTTGTTAACCCCGATCCACACTAGGGAATACCAATGGCTACGCGCTGTAAAACGCCCAGGTAGGAACCATGCCCCTAGGCAATCATTGGTTTTCACATGTTGAGCATTTTACAGCGTGTAGGAACACGCTGTAAAACGCCCAGGTGTGAACCAGGCCTTACACATTTTTTTGCAGGGTTAGTTTCCTCATGGTTACAATGGAGGAACATGGCTGGGCAATATGGATTGGCACAGCCCCTTGTAGTCTCCATTGGCAAAAAGTTTTCTTTAACTCTTGGCGCTAATGGCTGCCAGCTGAATGATCCACTTGCTGTTGCATACTCAAAGTTTTCAACAGTTTATCACAGTTTTTCACACAGACTTGAGGGGCTGCTCATCCAAGGCTCTGGGGCTTCCACCACGAACATAGAAAACAAAAGGGAACAGAGCGCCCCCTCTGTGTGTAAAATCGTTTATTAGGATAAATAAAAAACAAGGGATATATGTGCTCGCAAGCAAACATTTTCATCAGGCTTTAACAACAAACAAGAGGCCACACTGGTTTCGCCCCGACTATGTAACATGGTAGCCTCCGGTCACATCACCGTCAACCGGCCGCAGTCAGCCAAGATTGACGCATTTAGGGGCAAGCCCCCTTCATCAGGGAACAGGGGACAACACAGGAGAAGATTGTCAGGAGTGCTGTCACCCTATAACAGGAAGTGCCTGAACAAGGCCCTCGTTGCAGGTTCATCAGATATCATTTTATGGATAGCTTCAGGCATAAAAATATTGAAATTTACTTTGAATTGACTTTGAAATAACTTTAACATGTTTACGCTTATATGAGGATTTTAGTGATTGAATTTACATGTGCTTACATATAATAAGTGGTCTAGTAGTACACATATTTACAGATGGTTGATCTTTTCCTTTTGGCAAAAAAGCATAGCATGCAACATCATTATACTTTCTCATCTGACCAAATACATTGATATTGCTTTTCCAACTACAACACAAACATACACTCACCGGCCACTTTATTAGGTTCACCTGTTCAATTGCCTGGTAACACAAACTGCTAATCAGCCAATCACATGGCAGCAACTCCGTGCATTTAGGCATCTAGACATGGTGAAGATGACTTGCTGAAATTCAAACTGAGCATCAGAATGGGGAAGAAAGGGGATTTAATTGACTTTGAATGTAGCATGGTTGTTGGTGCCAGACAGGCTGGTCTGAGTATTTCAAAAACTTCTGATCTACTGGGATTTTCACGCACAGCCATTTCTAGGGTTTACAGAGAATGATCGGAAAAAAAGAAAATATCCATTGAGCAACAGTTGTGTGGACAAAAATGCCTTGTTGATGTCAGAGTAGAATAAGCAGACTGATTCAAGATAATAGAAAGGCAACAGTAACTCAAATAACCAATCGTTACAACCAAGGTATGAAGAATACCATCTCTGAATGCACAACATGTTGAACCTCGAATCCGATGATCTACAGCAGCACAAGACCACACCGGGTGCCACTCCTGAAAGCTAAGAACAGGAAACGGAGGCTACAATTTGCACAGGCTCACTAAAATTTGACAATAGAATATTGGAAAAATGTTGCCTGGTCTGATGAGTCTCGATGAGTCTGCCACATTCAGATGGTAGGGTCAGAATTTGGCGTAAACAACATGAAATCATGGATCCATCCTGCCTTGCATCAACGGTTCAGGCTGATGGTGGTGGTGGTGTAATGGTGCTGTGGGATATTTTCTTGGCACACTTTGGGCCCTGATGAGGTCATGTCAATATGACCAAAATCTCTGAGGAATGTTTCCAACACCTTGTTGAATCTATGCCAAGAAGAATTAAGGCAGTTCTGAAAGCCAAAGGGGGTCCAACCCGGTACTAGCAAGGTATACCTAATAAAGTGTCCGGTGAGTGTATATTCAACTGGTAAAAGAAACAGCAACACTCAAAACAGGCAAATACCTCCACTGATTTCTTTCTTTTAGAATCCATACATATATGTCCATCCAATCCAGAATAAACAATGTAGAAACAATTAATGGTTAGAACTAATGGGAAAATGAACAGTACAGGAGGTGCAGAAGAATCTGGGCTGTCTTTTTCCAGAAGACATTTGCTGCAAAGACTTGCTACAAAGCCTTACCTGTGCTACCTGCCACTACATGGTAGTGGCAGGTAGCACAGGTCTTGACTAGAAACTTGCTAAAACAAACTCAGTAATCTTTACGTTTCCTGAAGGTCCGATGTCCCAATGGAATGTGTGGTTGTTTGTACTATCTATATTTTCTTTTCTTCTGCTTCTTTCAGAGCATTTGTGTTTTTAAATAAAAACCATGTGTGAATGGCAAACAGACTGGGCTGCTGAAGTAGGTCTCACTTAACATTTCAAGGGATCTAAGGTGAAAATACATTTACTAATAAGAATGACTGACAGGATAAAGATATGTCATATGAAATTGAAACTTATACTTAACCAAAGTATGTATGACAATTTGTTCCCTAAAGCACAGTCATTTTTTTTGTTCATGAAATACGGTGTTCACCTTTATTCATCCTTTTTTCACATTTCAGTTCTGCTCATCTCCTCTAGCATTTTTCAACCACTTCCTCTCTACATGCACTATCTCCAGTGTCAACTGCACATCATTGTACTGCCTTCCTGATAGTGACACAGTGGACTATGCCTGCACAATGTGTGTTGGCACAGCCGCCGGTAGATCCTACCAGGAGCACACGTGACAAGGTGACAGAACATGACAACAGTTGGGACACAGCTGCCCCTCAATAGCAGTAAATGCCTAAACAAGGACCTTAGTGGAATCTGATGGCACCTGATATTATTTTATTGAATACTGATTTCAAAAGATTGAAAAAAACATTTTTTTTAATTGCAGGAACATGTTATTGGGTTTAGAGCAACAATAAACTTTAACATGGAACTGTACTCCATGTATACTATAGGTAGAAAGATTGGGATGCTAATTTTTATTTTTTTTTGGCCTCAGAACATCCACTCTTTCTTTCCATGACCAGTCCAGCATTGCAGCTGCCAGTCACTGTAGTGGGCAGCAAACACTTCAAGCAAACCTGTCAATGCGGATTTCAGATTTCTTATATGAAGTGTGCCTGATCCTGACGGCTACAAAAACACAGAAAAGAGAGAACAGTGTGTGTCATAGGACTGTGTTTGTGCTATACATTGTATGGGTTAAGTGACAAGCAAAATGTGCTTTTTTTATGAAAAAGATTCACTAAATATAACAGGTTATCGGGATGCACCATAGATTTTATTATGCTAGTTGCCACCCTAGGTATTGCTAATGAATAGAACACAATACAACAATTTTGTCCTTCCTGTCTGACCGTTCTGTTTTTTTCAAAGCTAACTTAAAGAGACACTAAATTCAGGAGTAAAATCTTAAAAATGCATTCAAGTACCTTAACTAATAACAAAAATATAGCTTATTTGTGTGTCACTCTTCTGTAGATCCTCACATCATCTCTGAATTGGTGCTGACACTGTCCTTCCTTCTGGAGGGTGGCTACTTTTGTCCAGCAAGGTCCCTGTGTGTGTTATAAAGTAGCCACCACTTTGAGTTTGCTCCCTTGATGGACTGCAATCTCACGTTTAGTTTACTAATTTGTATTGAGATTGTAGTCTATCACAGGAACAAGCTTGGTGCGGTGGCTACTTTAAAACACACACAGGGACCATGGGGAACAAAAGTAGCCACCCTCCAGACGGAAGGACATGGCCAGCATGAATTCAGAGATGATGTGAGGATCTACAACTAAGTGATCCAAAAATAAGATACATTTTTGTTAATAGTTTGGGAACTTGAATGCATTTTTAGGATTTCACTCCGGAGTTAATTGTAACTTTAAGTGTGTTTCTGTTTGGCTAAAGTGGTAAGCAAAGCTGTGCCCTGACATAATGCAAATAGTGTACACATTCAATGCCAGTTTTAGAGATGGGTGAGCCCAAACATAATCACTAGATTTTATATATTAGGAGAAAAAGAACAAATTGTCTTGTAAAAAGTGTTTTATTTGCTGTCAACACAAGGTCAAGCTGAACATCATGGCCAATAGTGTTACTGCACCAGCCACAATAGATACATCTGCCGAATTCCACTTGATTCATCATTTCAATGGGCAATTGTATGAGTAAATAGGAATAGAAAAATTATCACTTTTCTGGTAAATAATGCTCAGGAAGTTGGTCACAACTGGTCATCACGTATGAATCTGTTGCCTTCTGAATGTTTCCCATAGTAAATGTAGCGGCATTTCCCTGCAACTCCTGAAACACAAAGAAGAATGGTATTCATTATCTCATAGCATAACTTAGATACAAATCTGAGTGCCTTGTGGCTTGTTTGCATTTATTTTCAATGGCACCCTAACAAGCATGCATGAAAACACATGCACCTGCATTCATGTGTACTGAAATGCATGTGTTAAATATCACATGTTGCCTTGCGGTGCCATGAAAAACAATTAAGCAGGTACATTTTTGGTCCGCTGGTGTGCATTGAGGGCCCATTAAAAATGAATGGGCAATGAAACATGTGTCGATGCACCACAAAACATGCCCAAAAGTGCGTATAAGTGTAATGATGCTCTAAGGGAAGCTAAAACTGTGAGATTGAGACCTGATTAACAGGCGATACCTTCAGTAAAAAGTTTGCATTATCGGTGAGATTTGAAAAAAATTCATACGCCTAGGGCTGGCTTTCCACTTCAATCTGTAGGCGTACAAACTTTGGTGCCTAATACAGCACCTCTCTACCAGGATTACCCATTTTGCTGCTAGGAAGCTGGAGCCTTAACACTTCTCCCCTACTTCCTGTCCCTGTGGTGCGCATACAAGGCATGGGCATGCAGTTAATCAGGACAAGTGTTTTCATTATCTTAAGAACTACCTTTTGTGAACACGGAATTAGGTCTACACATATAAAGGTATATATAGGTATGTATTGACATAAAGATTTACACTGTATATATACAGTATGTGTAGATATAGGCAGGAATGTAAAGACAAATAGATTTCCTGATGAATGTGTACATCTCATTTTAAGAATCCAATACCATTGCTTCCCCTCATAACAGATTTAGTAGTCTGATAATTCATGAAGATAAAACAATGTATAATTTCTAATTGGCTTCTGGTAATACACTTTCTTATACTGTTAGTACTGTTAGCCTGTTATACTGACAGTGAAAGAGTGTGCAACTGCACATCAGGAAGAGTTAAGAGTACAAAAACATTGATAGACTTTGAATAAAAGAAGACTACAGAGAGCCACCCTGCAAGTTAAGTCATGGCTATAATAAGAGGAGACATTGTCAAATATATAGACAGGACAGAAGCTGTGCACAGTGACAGGAAGCAGAGCATATGACAAAGATACTGGTGCCAGTACTTCCCTGCACCAATCACATCCCTAACAAGAGGTGACAACAGTTCCCTGCCCCAGTGTCTTTAAGTTCTCTCATCACTGCTCTATGCTTATCGCAAAAATCATTCAAAGCACTGGTGCTGGAAGGCTTCTGAACTTATTACTCTAAGATATGATTCCAGAATAAAGATAAAAATGAGTCAGAAACTTGAATGTGCTGAACACCCATTGTGCTTATCAAAAGGTGCTATTTAATCTACACAAGTAAGTCAAAAGAGGCCTGAGGGTCAAGAAAAGATAGTTTAAACAAATAGTGTAAATCTCCTTTCTTGTCTCTGGAATCCATTGATTAGGAAGCATTAGGGGTTTAGTAAAGTTTACCAAAAGAATGTCTCATCGGACATTGTTTTACACATTGACTATATAAAATCTCGAGTGAGCATGTTTAGTTCTAGAATTCTTTCAAATTATATGTCTCTGCATTAGGGAAGTATCATCAATTATGAGTGAATAAAATACTTGAGGTGTCACTGTAGTAACAGTAAGTCACCTCCTACTAGAGCTCTTATTACTTCTTGGTGGCAGCAGCACAAAATCAACTTTCTCCTACAGAAATGCCACATGGGAAAAGAACAATGGTACTGTAAACACATTGCAATGCATGTAAATGTGAGCTGATGCTAGGATTTGGCACCAGATGCATCTAAAAGCATATGCATGTAAACATGCATCCTTTAATAAAATAATCCAGACCCTTCAGTTTAATATGCAATTTAAGGGAAAATAAAGAATGAGGCGGTTGTTCAAACACCCAATACTGCAAGGTGGGCAGTAAGAGAGCCAGGATCTTGGACAAAGAAATCTCACCTCTGGGGTGCTTAAGAAATATGACAAGCCAACAGACTACTGAATAACCTAAAGTAGAACTGAAGCGAAAGCTTTGTATAGTTTTGGATAGAGTAGGGGGGTTATAACCCGTCAGCTTTTTTTAGCATCTGCGTCCCATTGGGGATATTTCCCTTTACTTCCTGTCCAATAGCCACAACAGAAAGTGAAAAGAAATCCCTCCAAAGTGAGGGAAATCCTAGTGTCCTATTGGAAGATTTCCCATCTATTATTGTTCTGGTGACGACCTAAAATTTGGGATTTTTGTTCACTTTCAGTGATAATAGTGACCAGGATACCAGGACCAGTGACCAGGATACCCCGAAGTAGAATACAGACAACAATTAAAACCTAACAGGTGTACTTATCCCAGTCCACTCTGTACAGAATTTAAAAAAGGTTTTGGCTTCAGTTACACTTCAAATATGCCCGCTCAAAAAGGTGTGTGAGAGAGCACTCTCAGGACCATGTAACTATTCGAAGAGTGGAAAGTCTACAACATTTTCCTTTCCTTATGTCTTTGGATTATTTAATTTTCCTGTTTAAACCCAGTATCTTTTTTTTAAAACGGATACAGACATACATGTAAGAGTGTACACGCTGACAGGTTAGGTTATAGGGAACGTATTAGATATATATATATATATTGTAGAGGACGCCAGGAATTCGGGTATATTTCCCCGCTATTTAGGTTGTGGTCCCTTTAAGGGGATAAAAAAAGGGGTTTTGTCAGAAGTTCTCACCAATGCAGGCTGAGGGGTTCTGGGGTGATCTTAGAAAGAAAACTACTATGTAGTCTTCTCGGGATTGATAGTCCTGAAAGGGGACCCGGAATCCGGAGGCTCAGAGAGAGATTGGGTGGGAAAGAGCACCTGTGCAGAGATCTCAAAACAGCAGTTTTGAAAAGGAACCCTTCCAATCTGAGAGAGCTGGAGCAGTTAGCGAAAGAAGAGTGGTCCAAAATTCCTGTACAGAGGTGTAAGAAACTAATTGATGGCTACAGGAAGCGATTGGTTTCAGTTATTTTTTTCCAAGGCCTGTGCTACCAAATATTAATTGAGGGTGCCAATAATTGTGTCAAGTCCATTTTTGGAGTTTTGTGTGGAATGTGTCAGATTTACCTTTTTTTTCTCCACTTTTTTGTCTCATACCAATACAAACCAAATAAATAAACTTGAGAATGCCTACACATTTGTAATTGCAACAATTTTCTGCACAAAGTGGTGCATTATCTGACAGAAATGCAGGGGTACCAATATTTTTGGCCATGACTGTATATACATTTTAGCCAGATAATTATGAAATATTACATATATATTTTCGATTGTATCCAAACAGTAAGTGTAGCTTAAGTTTGTTTTTCACATGTTTTCCGGTAGTTCCCTAGCTCCTTTGTTGCAAAAACTTTGAAGAGTCCTCAAGGTGCAATTTACATATAGAGGTGAGTGGTGCCTCATCGGATGACTCCCTCAGAGGTTTCAATAGCAGCTGGATGTACTTGACCCGGACCCAGTGAACATTTCTGATTTACAATAAAAGCATTGCCTTCTAAATGGTTACTTTAAAATAAATAATATTTGGTGGATTTTTAATTAAACTTTTCACTGAACAGACTTTACATGGTAACTATACTTTAACTGAAAAACATTAAATATGGCCCTGGTTGATATGTGTTGTTCTTCAAGCATACTTGGTGATCACTGCATTAAACCTGCTGCACTGTGTGGCCTGCACTCAGTGTTTATACTAGACTATTTTTTAATTCTGTTCTGGGTATGAAGGCAGCTGAGCTCTGTTTGTGATAGGTCTTCCTCACACAGCCCATCATTGGGAGATGTCCAGGTAGCCTTTTAACTCTTGCAAGGGAGGCCAGGTCTTCATGGGCCATAGCTTATTACTTTTAGATAAAGTACATTTATACTTTAGACATTTACTAGTCGGATAGTGCAGAAGCATTATAGAATGAAGACTCGGTGACTTAAGGTGGTGTGAGAGATGAAAGTGTGAGTCAGCTGTCACTTTGCATTATATTCTCATTATTTGCTTACCCAGTCGCAGGACAGATGACAGATTTGGGGGAAGGAGGCAAGTTCAGATGCCAACACTTGCTTTAGGAATGAGATGTGAGCTTGAAGGTAGCTTAAAATGCACTAAATATAGGAAAATAATATTTCAGCCTGGGAGCTGGTAGCGGTGGAAATACACATTTTTAACGATCAGGCAGTACAACTTGACCATACCACCAAGGCACCCCGCTGAATGATGCTAAAGTCCAGATAATCTCTTTCCATTTCCCAGAACTATGCTCACTGTGAAAATACTGGCAGCAAGAAGAGAGCCAGGAGTTCTCAGCATGACAGTACATGAGAAATCAATGGTGACATGACACAAGAGGAGGGTGAGGTGTGGAGTGAGGGATCTCTAGGGATACGTCACAAAACACTACAGGTCATATAATTACATTGATGTGGACTTACAAAAAAAACCTAAGTTGTTACCAGCACCTTGCAAGAAGGATATACAATCGGTCAAGGCAATTACATAGCTGGTGAGCAAAATATGTGTAATAACAGATAAACATTTAACTCCCTGCTGCTGTATAGGTCACTGGTGAGTAATAGAAAATTCTTTGGTTTAGAGAAAAAGTGTAATTCTTTCTACAGGAGATAAATGTGTTGCTATTTTGTTTTTCTAAGGACTTAGTGTAACATTCTACAAGTATGACCTTGTATACAAACCAGCTAGCACTTATTAGTACCCAGTATGTGGCATGTATATACTTTAACTATCTAGGAAACGTTGGTGGCATCAAGTCTGTCTTTACTGAAGTTGATTATTATCATTATACATCTGCAAATTTGTACAATGTTGCTGATGTGTCAGCATTTGCTTCTGCACATACCTAATATCATTTATATAAATGATAATAAAGTTTTCATGTGAGCAGTGGCGTAACAATCACCATAGCGACCCTATGGGGCCCGGGGCACAGTGGGGCCCTACCAGATGCCATGCGGGCCGCCTGGGTCGCAATGGGATCTTCTGCTGGTGGCTTTCACTGGCGTCTGAAGACGAACATGCCGCTGTTCAGATCATCTGTGCAGCAGCGCGTTCGTCTTCACAGTCAATGAGAGCCAGCAGCAGCGGGGGAGCAGGCTGGACCCGGTGTTCTATCAACGTCGCGAGCCTCTGACGTCACCGGCAGTGGAGGAGGAGGCGGGCCCGTGCTCGGCAGCAGGGGAGGAGGCGGCCTCGGTGATGAAGAAGGAGGCGGGCCCGGCGACGGAGGAGGTAAGGAGTGCGACCAGCCCACCTGAGGGTGATCCTGCAGAGCCCACCATAGAGAGTCTATGGTGGGCTCTGCAGGGTCACCCTCAGGTGGGATCGCGAGTGGGCTCTGCAAGGGGTATAACTAGAAATCACGGGGCCCCATACAAAATTTTGCTATGGGGCCCTGTGATTTCTAGTTACGCCCCTGCATGTGAGATTCCATTATAAGAATAGGACAAGGTACTTTTTATACTTATCGAAGAGATATAACAACATGCTTTCAATGCTTTAATTAACAGACTTAAGGGAGCAAACAAAAGAAGTTTCTTTACATACACTTTACACTTGACTGGAAGCTTAAAATGTCTGCTTCCGTCTATTTCTTATACACTATAATGATCTTAATTTCTTATTCTACCCTCTCATAAAGGGATATGACTTGAGCCACCCACACTGAGGAATAAATTCTGCTGATTTTATTAAATCCTCTAACGCCTAGACCCAAGGTAATAAGTAATCAAAATGCCTTTGCGTTCAAGAACATAGGCATGAATCAATGTGGAAACATATATGTGTACACAAAAAGGTACAGTGGCAATCAGAAGAGCAGTCCCATTAGTTCCATTCATTATTGTTCTTGTTACAAATAGAGGTGTCAGAGCAGTCTTTCTCAACCTTTAAATACTTGAGGAGCCCTTGAAAAAAAAATCAGATCTTGGGGAACCCCTGAAATAATTTTCTGTTCTACAGCTCAGTGATTATAATATGATATAATAATAAATAAAAACATAAATAATAAACATTACACTAACACAAACAGTACATTGGTGCTCAGTGAAAAATGTATTTATGTTAACAGTGTCCACGAAATCCACTATAGAAATCCTGCTCTGTAGTGTGCACATTGCTTTGACGTTCTCTCTATTTCCATCTGTCAGATTTTAGCCCCCCACAATTTCATATCCACACTTCTACCTCTGTGTGGACCAATTCAAGGAGAAGAGGGATGAGGACTGTCGTAACATTGATAACTGTTGGTCTGAATGCAGAAAAAAAAACTAGTTTTGGCTTCAGATTACATTTTTTTATTTTTTTAAATATTATACCACAAAATGCCCCGACTGAAGCAGCTCCACTAACAACTGATGACCTTGTTCCTTCTAATTTTGAGGTCAGTGTCACTGAATTATTAAGGGCCATTAAGATGCTTTCACTATTTTGTGCATTGAATTGCCCACTAGCCTTGCTATAACATTGTCTCCTACTCATTGTTTTGGGGTGGCAGTATACATAATTATCTATTACCTTTTCCATGAATATATGTACCCAGGCTTAGATTATATCTCATTGTCCAGATGCGCCCCCTGTTTTATGAGTAATGTAATTGCCCCTGTTGTATACTTAGTCAGCTGTCCATGGCTTCACCACACAACTTTGCCCTTAAAAAACCATTTGAGTAACGTTAATAGAACACAAAAACACTTCACTGAGTGTATTACTTTTGGACAGACCTCCTTCGTGTCGACCATCCACTCCACTCCCGACACCCGCTCTCTGGCACACTGCAGGAGGGATGATAAAGCCACTCTAGGGCAGGCAGATAGGAATCCACTGCAATGGTGGAGTGGAGGAACCCCAAAGTTAGACAGCAAATGGCAGTGTTTGCTGACTTCTACAACTGACGAGAGCTAAAACCTTTAAAAAACTTCTGCTATATTCAATAAATACAAATGAAAGGAAACCAGAATAATTCGCTTGTGGTCTCTACTTATTGCCCTGGAGAAGATGAGGATTTATTTTAACTATCTTTCTGGATTGAACAAGGTTGAAAGTAAAAAATAGGTTCTAGAAAGGCGAACACGTACAGATATGTCATATTTCACACATGTATGCAAATGTGTTTTGCAAGTATAAAATCTTTTTGTCAGAAAAGGTACAACCCCAAGCTGAATGTACCCAACACTTACAGGGCTATTCACTAAAGGGTGAAGAGTTTGGATAAGGCAGGAGAAGTGAACAATCTAGGCCAAAATAGCTGATTTTGGAAAAATTCTCCAATTCAACTCACTTTCCAGTTCAGCTATTTTGTTCTAGATTGTTCCCTTCTCCTGCCTACTCCAAACTCTTCACCCTTTTGTGAATAGCCCTGTTAGTTTTGTTCCTCTGGTTTCATCAGTCATGAAAATATACAGGGGGAAGTTTATCACAACTGGAGAAGACAGAATCTGGAGCAGTTGTCCATGGCAAACAATCAGCTTTTCGTTTCAGTTTGCTTAATTTTGATACATTTCCCCTCACTGTGTAGTGTTTAGTTTACTCTAGGTATTTAATTCAGTGAGGGAAAGAAAATATCCTTTTTTTTTTGCATATTAAGTTAAAAAAAAAGTCTTCTTTTCTTGTCAGTCACTCTTCTCTGCCTTCCCTCTGCACAATATTTATTTATGCCCCAGGATTTATAAATGTCAGGGATTTATAAAAGTCACCCTAGCCTAAAAAATACATCATCTGATTATCCCTACCCCTTGGGCAGTGGGAACATACATGAATGGTTTCATGTATATAAAAAATACATCATACATATATAAAACAATACTTCATTTTTCTGTCTTATGAGCATCTTTAATTTGGCATTGTCCTGTTATTGAGAGATCTGATACATTAATTACTTTTAAGACATAATTGTCTATTGGTTTGTACAATAATTATTCTGTACTATATATACAAATCTCTGGATTTTAACAGCATTGTTAAACTGTGAGCAAAGTGCTCAATTGTATGCATTTACTAAATATAAATATCTGCCACGTCTCAGAAATTCTTTTTTGCCAAAGATGCTTGCACCAATGTAAAAGACAGCATACAACATCATATCCCCTGACCCCATCTGGTTTTCCTTGCATCCAAGATGTAATGTGACCTTAAATTCAGTCTACTTACTATTCATGTATTCCTGACTCAGGGACTATTAACCTGATTGCACTTAATGTGAATAGGGAAGAGCACTATTAGGTGCAGAGTGACATAAAGGCCTGTTGGGATTGCTTTTAGTGATCAGGTTACTTGGAGTGATTTACTTTTTAACTCTTCCTTATGCGCTGCCTGGTGATAGTTTGGAAGCACACAACAATGGTATCCGATACTTGTCTGTCACACAGCTTCTGCCCATTCAAAGTGATAAATATATTTAGGCTTTATGTTTTAACCGTTAGCAAAAGAAGAGATAACTTTTAATAAAAAAACAATGATACCCTCTATTGGCTAACCAAAATTATTAAATATACAACCTTTTGGGATTCCTTAGATCCCTTTGCCAGACTTTGCACATTACTGAAAATGGTTCGGAAACCCACATATTTATACACAGTCACAAGGAGGAGCAAAGATATTCTAAAATGGCCTGGAAAAAATTGTTGGTACCCCTAGAACAGATTATATATAATTTGATCACAGTGATATTTCAAACTAACTGTTTTCTGTAATTCCTATCACACATATCTTCAAGCTTGTAATCAGTCAGTCATCCAATTCAAATGGAGTAAAGTGTGATATGATGTGCACCACAGTGAATGAGATGGAGTTGTCTGAGAAGATTGTAAATAAAATTATAAAGCATCATGTCAAATGTAAAGTCGATAAGACCATCTCCAAGCAGCTTGAGCATCAGTGGGTTGAAATAAAGACTCCATTGTTGAAGGAAAAACATCAAAATGTCAGAATGTAATTTGCTAAAATGCATATTGACAAGCCACAATGATACTGTGAAAATGTCCTTTCGACAGAAGTGTAGGTTTTTGGCAAGCTGTTAGAAGCTTCCCTTAGCTGTAGTTACACACATACAGGATAATGCCCCAAAACCAGGATGTATCCACCGCAAGGCAAACAGGGCATTTCCCTTGACTAGCATTTCTTAGGGGGAGGCAAAATATGCTGCCACCCCAAACCAGTGAGACAGTAAGCACCGACAGCCAAATGAGCCCTTGACTGCCATTTATTCCACTTTCCGAAGACTCAATTTTAGCCGAGGAGAAGAAGGAAGTGGCTGGGGGTTGGGACAGCCGTCTGCTGTCAGTCATTCCGCAGCAGAGCTGTGGAAATGGAAGGCTGGAGACCAGTGCCAGGACCCCTAGGGGAGGGGGGGAGCCTGAGTCCAGCTGGCGCCCTGAGGAGCCGCCATCCAAGTCTGAAGGTGAGGGGCTGGGTGGGACGGTGTGGGATGGGGACCAATCACTGCGAGTGTAAGCACCGACAGCTCTGCAGTGATCTCTGGCTACGGGTTTAATACTGGCAGTCATGTGTAACAGATCCCCACACACAGCTATAGAGATCCCCGTGATATATATAAATATATATATGATATATATATACACTTGTGTGCCGGGATCTATAGTATATACATGTGTGCGGGGATCTATTATATACAGTATGTATAAAATAAATATTTATTATGATTAAATCTGCCTGTTGTTACCCTCTTAAACTGCGGCTAGATCTGCCTACATAATATGCAATATATCTGGATTTTTCTGCAAAATAATATACTCTAATTTTGATTTCATTATAAACCTGCCTGTTTTTTTGCTCTTAAATTGTTGACTTGTAAGACAAAAGCCTGTAGAGAGCAGTAGATGGTTATAACAAAGCAGGCCCTCCCAAAGTGATAGTAACTGGAACTTAAAATTGGGGATATGCAAAAAAGTTATGGTCTCTGGAAGCCTGACCACCACCTGGACTGGTTGGATGGGGTCAGCATAATGAAACCATCATGCTTTAATCCTGAGATTAGACTATCAATATTTATTCTAATTGGAGTTGTTTAAACTTACCTTGTTGGTGGCAGAGTAGTTTGACACAAAGATAATAGCCTTGTTGTGTGTAGGTATCTGTAGTAGGGACTTTTGAGTTTAAGCTTTTTCTCAAGGCAGAGACTAAAAAGAATAGTACAGTGTTCTCTGTCGAACAGCTACATAAATGAATACAGTAAATGCAACTAGTTGCACAAGGGTCGTGTTTTGATTAATAGAGTGGTGTTAGATCACAGTGGGCTAAGACTGATCTCTATCTGGAAACATGATGATGATCTTGTTTAAAAAAGTGATCACGTAAACAAACACTTCAGTCACAATATGGGTGCAGAATATGTTAGTAGTTTAACTAAAAAGAGATGACGAGGGAAAAAAGAGCAAGACATGGAAGAGACAGAACGAGGCAAGAATAGACAGAATGAAAAGATAAAAGAAGAAAAACAGTCTGGCAAGACAGAGAACTGGAGACAGTTGAAAATAAATTTGCCCAGAGGGTGATAGGAAGAGAGATGTGAAGTTTTAATCCCTGGCCAGGAGTTTGATCCAGTAATGTTCAGTATAAACTAGCAGGCAGCTGATGTATGATTTGGTACAGCTTGTTAGAAATTTAGTTCAAGGCACATCCAGCAGCTGGGGGAGTACAGAAGGAGCAAACAAGTGGGCAAGCCAAAAAGACACTAGGACTTTGTTAAGAATTAGGATTGTGAAAGGGTAAGATCTTCCTTTGGGGGAAACCAAGCAGTGTAGAGTTTTACAAAAATTGTTAGTTTACACAAAATGCAGAAACACAGAGAAAGTATTACGCAAAGGTAAATCAAATAAGCCAAAACGAACTCATTTCACCCCTGGAGTGAATAATACAAGATTTTCATTTCCATTCCTAAGCAAACAGAAGTGAAATAAATCACTTATTATGTGTCAGTTACGCTGCTTGTTTGTGGTACGCATTTGCTGATTTCTTCAACAGGATGACATATGGTCCATGATAGACTATAAAGGCATTAACCTGACCAATATCCCAGCTTAGGTCAGTGGCCATGTTTTACCAAAAGGTTTACAGAAGCTCAGAATATACTTAGAACTATTTCTGATGTTATAAACAGATCATTCAACAAAAGTCTTAGCTCAATTTTTGCCATGAAGCGGCCAGCAAAGAAAACAGCACACTGAATTGCATTAGAAGAAGAATTGTAGCAAGGGATAAAGAATAATACTTCCACTTTCTAAATCGCTGGTTCTGCCTCATCTTGAGTATGCGGTGCAATTTTGATCGCCAGCTCTCAGGAAAGGCGTCCCCGAGCTTGAGAGAGTCCAGTGAAGGGCTACAATGTTAATTAAAGGAATGGAAGGCCTTAGTTATGAGGATCGCCTCCAACAATTAAACTTATTCCCCTTAGAAAAGAGGCGATTAAGAGGGGACCTTGTTGCAGTCTTCCAAATCATCAGTGGGGACCACAATATTCGTAACAAGTTGTTTACACCTAGAACTGTATTGAGGCAAGAGGAGACAACAAGAGGTTAGAAGAGAGGGAGGTTCAATCTTAGGATTGAGCAAGGTTTTTTTTTTACTGATTTCCTGGCCATTTTTCAGAGAATATGAATGATAACACGAAAACCTTTCTGTCACTCATGGCTAGTGTTTGGCTGAAGCCATTTATTATCAATCAATTGTGTTTACTCTTTTTCAATCATAATGACAACAGAAACTACCCAAATGACCCTGATCAAAAGTTTACATACCCCAGTTGTTAATACGGTGTGTTGCCCCCTTTAACATCGATGACAGCTTGAAGTCTTTTGTGGTATGTGTGGATGAGGCTCTTTATCTTCTCAGATGGTAAAGCTGCCCATTCTTCCTGGCAAAAAGCCCCCAGGTCCTGTAAATTCTTGGGCTGTCTTGCATGAACTGCACGTTTGAGATCTCCCCAGAGTGGCTCAATGATTTTGAGGTCCAGAGATGGCCACTCCAGAACATTCACTTTATTCTGCTGTAACCAATGACAGGTCGACTTGGCCTTGTGTTTAGGATCATTGTCATGTTGGAATGTCCAAGTACATCCCATGCGCAGCTTCCGGGCTGATGCATGCAAATTGTCCTCCAGTATCTTTTGATAACATACTGCATTCATCGTGCCATCAATTATGACCAACTTTCCTGTGCCTTTGTAGCTCACACATCCCGAAAACATCAGCGATCCAACTCCGTGTTTCACAGTAGGAATGGTGTACTTTTCATCATAGGCCTTGTTGACTCCTCTCCAAATGTAGCTTTTATGGTTGTGGCCGAAAAGCTCAATTTTGGTCGCATCACTCCAAATGACTTTGTGCCAGAAGGTTTGAGGCTTGTCTCTGTGCTGTTTGGCGTATTGTAAGTGGTAGGCATGTCCCGATGCCACTTTTTCAGGCCCAAGTACAATTACTTCCCCTCATGTACTTAATAGCCATCCACAACCCTTTGTGTCAACCTGTATGCATGCTATCAGGCCACAATCACGAGGGTATGTAAACTTTTGATCCGTGTCATTTGGGTAGTTTCTGTCGTCATTATGATTGGAAAAGAGTAAACACAGTTGATTGATAATAAATGGCTTCAGCCAAACACTACCCATGAGTTACAGAAAAGTTTTCGTGTTATCATTAATATTCTCTGAAAAATGGCCAGGAAATCATAAATTCTGCCAGGGTATGTAAACTTATGAGTACAACTGTATATATACACATATACACACACACCCACGCAGACAGGTTGAACAAGATAGACCCTTATCTTTATTCAACCTCACCTACTATGTTACTATTTTATCAGTGTTGAACCATTTTAAAAAAGCCATGTGGTTGGAATTAAGTGTACAAGCTAAATGTAATTATTCACTCACACTTATAAAAATGAAGATAAATGTGAATTTTATCTGAAAATGCCATTGATTACTGTGCATACTAATGTGCACAAACTCTCAAAAAAGACAATTAAGTGCTGAAGTGAATTTGATAATGACAATGGGACATGAATTGCCATCTGATTTCTGGTAAATACAAACCCAGGTCAAGAGCACAAAAAGGAAGACACTCGTCTAAGTCTGTAGAAGAGACATTATCTGATGATGCTTTGATCTCCCACATTGTGTGATGAGGAAGAGCTTCCCACCCTTTCAGGACCTTGTCTGACATTACTTTCCATAGCCTGAACTGAAATCTCCTTACAGCCCTTTACATATTAAGGAACCATTACGCCGACACATTAGAAATTATCTGCAGGCTAATGTTTCCATTATGTGCATGCTGGCTTTGGGACAAGCAATGCTTTGTTCTTCAGATGTCATACTTTGTATAATAAGAGAGGAGGGGGCCTCTTAGCTTTTTGGATGACTTTGACATGACTGGCTGTAATCTGGACATGTGCTGTGAGTTGATGCTTTGTGTCTGGATAGTGTACTGGAAAGCACATGCTCTGCTCTCGCTGTTATCAACATCAACACTGGCACTGGTGCCAGCCAAAAAAGAAGGAAGAACAGCAATAGCCTGGGAATTTCCAGGTCATGCCCATCTGTACCTTCACTCGTAAATTGTGTTTTTGTAATCTCGGTAAAGAAAAAGACAGCCAAAGAATTGCCAGCACAATGTCACAAAGTTTACTGTTGATCATTGACCTTATTATTAACACAACTGTGCCACAATCATTCGTATGCTGGAAAATGTGAAATCGAAAATGTAATTGGGGTGGATTTTGGCAGTTTTTGGTCTTTGCTTTTCGATCTATATTTTCATTGTGTGGACCTTCAATTGTGTGTAGGTTATAGGAATAATAATAAACCCCAAAATGTATGTTTCTAACAATTCTTATTGGTAGTATATATGTATTATCCCTTTTATATTTTGTGTAACGTCATACCATTCCCTTATATACTCCATTGTTATGGCCATATTATTTCTGGAAGCTGCATCTGTTTTGTACAAAGATTCAATGACATTACTTAAAACCTAATAAAGAAATGCAAGAGCCACAGAGGGGTTAAATTACAAAAAGAGTAGAGACTGTTTACTTATCAAAGTGAATGTTCACTGAGCTTAAAACAAACATTCACTTTGAGTGTACATATTCTTCTCCTTTAGTTAATCAACCCCAAAGTCTTGTTTGAATCTGTACAGTTTTCATGGCTCACAGGGTAAGTTCTTGCTTGAAACCATTGTCAATTTAGTCGACTAGAATGTTTTGTCATCTGCATGTTTTCACTGATAAAAAACAAATAAAAAGTAAAATAATTCAGATGACTAAAATGTGACTAAAACTAAAATGCGTATTTTAGTCATCTGAATTATTTTAGTTTTAGATTAGTTGTGTCAACTAAATCTCCAGTAGAGAAAAGTGCAATGTATTTTTGCCATAGTTTTATATAATAGTTTTCATCAGTGAAAACATGCAGATGATAAAAACTATGACAGAACATTTTAGTCCACTAAATTAACACTGCTCCAATAATCAAAGCCAATACACCACATTGCAGAGATAAAAAAATAATGATCGCTGCATTCATGTACTCTAGACAGATTAAGACCATATTATGCATCTTTGAGCAAATAGAAGACAGCAAGACCATTTTCTAATAATGTTAACAAATAGGACTAACAATAAGTAGGTATGAAAGAGGTACATATTAAAAATGACAAATGCAAATACAGAGCATTTCCCACTGAAATACACTGCTAATACTAATACTAAAAAGAATTACTCGAATGTAACAAATAAACTGCAATACAAAACTTGTTTGCAGCAGGCAATAGGTGCAGGGGCGTATTTACCGCGAGGCAAACAAGGCGTTTGCCTAGAGCGGCACTTTCCTTGGGAGCGGCCCTAGACAAACGCCTTGTACTGTGTACTGACAGCATGTTTGTATAAGCTCCGTTTAATGTACGGAGCCTGCTTGTGGAGGAGAGGGGGGAGGGCGGGAGCCGGGCACAGAAGCAGACGGGAGGGGAGAGCCCAGCAGTGAAGAGCAGTCAGCCGGATAAGTTCGCACTTTCGACACATCACCGTGTGGGGGGGGGGCGCCCGGGTCTAGTCTTGCCTAGGGCAGCACAAAACCTAAATACACCACTGAATAGGTGTGAGCATGAGCAATCTAGAACAAGTCATTTTGACAAGTACATGCATGGGCCCTATGCTGATGTATGCAGCAAAATGCACAGAAATTCTTCTAGTATAAGTAAGACCATAAAAGGTCAATTTGAACAAACCCGGGACCATGTACTCAATTGTATAAGCTGGAGTTTTTCAAGCAAACATACTATTTTTATCTGCTAAATCTTTAAACTATTATTATCAGTGTACTTTAGGTGACTAAAAGTATCTAATAACAAAATCTTGCATACAAATACCACTTATTGAAAGTCTGTACTATATTATGCACTAAACAGTTATTTTAAGGTATGTCCACTAGAGGGTGATAACTGTCTATTAGAAGGTCTTTTAACTGTATGCTGGAGAAGCATACAAAATAATTCAGCAACTGTTTGATAGGGTTACAGTTAACACTAGTTATGCCGCAAACATTATCTGAAAATTATCTAAACGCAAAACAAAACATATTAAATTAATTCCATTAATGCTATTTGGACAGTCCCTTGATATTATAATCATTACCATCATCTTCAGAAATCCAAACTTTAAACATCAGATGTTTTGTAACCCTCTAGGCCTGAGAGAAAGATGGCCACGAAGAGGCGAGCTTGTCAAGATGAGACAGTATTTAGGCTCATAGGATGTCTGGACAAAATCACTGGCCGTGGTGGAAGAATACATTACATAAATACCACGTGTAAATAAGCAGAAAGTCTCTGCTGATTACAGGAACAGAAAGGCAGAGACCTGGCAGATGGAAGCATAATTCTCAGAGTAAGGGAATTAGTTTAGCAAGGCAAACTGTTTTAGTGATGGTGATATTATTACACAAACTCATTGTGATTTATTGGACAGAAACCATTGAAGAGTTATGGATGGAAAAGGCTGCAGGCTTCAAAATCCCAGCTCAGGATACACAGATGTTTCTTCTTTGGGTACCTTCCTCTCACACTACAGTGCTAAACTCTGTATTTTGATATGGTTCATTTGGTGGAACTAACTTCTAATAATAATATCAAGGAAGATTTCCTATGAATTACTGAACTCTTAATACTTTGAAGAATCTCAGAAAAATCTGTTTTCAGATGTGCCCTAGTATTCATGTACAGCATATAGAAGTTATATCTTACAGTTTAAGCAAAAATCAGTTTTTAATATTGCTGGCATTTTTTTGATAAGAACTATTAAGACACAATTGTTTTTCATAAAGCCAAACCTCATTCCATGGCTAGGTGGTTTTACACTTCTGCACACTGCATAGCATTTTGTGTTAATAGTCTTATACTTTTCATCATAGGTTGGGCGTGTGAGCTGGATTGGGGATGGGCTTTTGGGTAGGGCTAAAGAACTATAATGTTATAAATAGTCTTTTTATTTATTTAAATTGAAATTGAGGATTGTATCGCCACTATGCAAGGCCCATGTAAATCTTCTTGCCACTGTATCTATGTATACCATTCATTTTTTCATTAGCATTCATATCAACCAAAATAACAGTGCATTTGTGGAGACTGTATATGTTTGGAAGTGGGCTGATACACCGCTGACTCAGCCTACAGTACGCCTGCATCTCTGGGTACATACTAAGTGGTGCCCTCTACAATCTATGTTCTAACACAACTGAAGAAAAAGATTGGTATTTCTTAGTAGCAGCCACCCACAGCTATTGTGCTGTTGGAACAGAATGAAAAGAAAGTTTAATACAGTATATTAAATGGATTGTTTTATCTAACTGAAGCATTATAACTTTACATTTAAATTACAATTTCTAGTTTACAAAATAATCTAGAAGTAAGCCACAGTGATGGGAACTAGGGGTGGCATAAGCACTGGTATATGGCATTGTAAAGAAGTGGTATACAGAATTGTAATCCACTGGTACACTGGGCTGTAAAGCACTTGTATACGGAAATGGTAAAACACTAGGTATGCAGGATAGTAAAAAAACTGGTATATGGAATTGTAAAGCATTGTTGTATGGGTTTGTAAAGCACTGGCATAAAAATTGTATAACACTGTTATACATAATGGTAAAGCACTGGTATATGGAATTATAAAGCACTAGAATGCAAAACTATAAAGTACTGGTATATGGAATTGTAAAGCACTGAAACACAGAGTTGTAAAGTACTGGTATATGGAATTGTAAAGTACTGGAATACAGAATTGTAAAGCCTTAAAAAGAACAGTCAGAGGACCATCTCCGGTATATGATCAGCTTGGGCTGGAAGTCAAGTGTTTGTAGTTCTTTCCTTGTTATAGATTATTTGCTTACTCCAATAATCCCAGTGCTGGTTTTCATTCTACCCTTGGAATTGCACTAAAGAGGCTATCGAATAAGTTGTTAGTGTTGCTATATTTCAACCTTCTAGTGTTGTTCCTGAGCAGTCAATTTATGGCCATAGTGTTAAAATAGCTCCAGGCTGCAACAAACATACTTTTCAAAAGGTAGTAAAATGT